TTTAATAAATAAATAAATGTTTTTGGTGTTACTTTCAGTTTTACATTGTGAATACTTATCCAAAAAAAAAAAGAAAAAAAAAAGAAAGAAAACATATAATTTATTACAAATATATATATATATATATATATATATATATATATATATATATATATATATATATATATATATATATATATATATATATATATATATATATATATATATATATATATATATATAATATTTTAGGGAAATATTATTTTACAACAATTAAAAATTTATATGAATAATTAACAAAAAATATGAAAATGAATACACATCATTTTATGATGGATATTACAAACATTAAACACAATCTTTAACAGCATCAAGATTTTGAACTATTTAGTAGTCAACTGAAAGCTTTGTTCTCATCATGTCCTCCAGAACTAGACAGTGGCGGATTAGAGTGGGTAAGAGGACCCGCTTCCCCTTTGTGACCAAAAGTTGATATAGAAAGGATAATTTTTTTTTTTTGGACATACTAGTATTGCTGAAAATAGTAATACTCTACATACACTGTATAGTATAGCTATAATAACTCACAAAAGCTAGTTTTCTTGAAAAACCTAAAACCATTGGCGCTTCTATGGTAAGGTTTTACATAGTACTTATAACTGACTTTCTGGAGAAGAAGGCAGGCACGTATAGTGGGGGGGGGGGGGGGGCGGCTCCTCCACTTTTTTCCTAACATAATGCATATTCTAATGTGTTTAGCTGTTAATTAAGAATAAATTTTCTTTGAAAGCTCCCTTTTTGTAATGCATGTATGGACAGATCCTCCCATGTAAATTCTATCTTGTCAAAAAAGGTGGAAACTTACCCACCCATCCCTACCATCCCAAGAAATAGGATTATCCGATTTTCGAGATTAGTTTTTGTTTCTGCTTGTCAAAGATTTTTCAGGTAAGTTGATCGTCAATTATTTTTCTGCTGATCCCCATCCCCTTTCAAAAACGATACTACGTACCTGCAAGGGACTGTAATTTTGTTTCATTTATCGAGTATTCATAAGTCAGTATTAAAAATATTTTGGGCGACGAAGACAGAAACGAGAGAAAGATCGAGACGGCTCATGTAAGCATTTCGACCATTGGGCCTCACAATCAAAGAAATACTAAACATCTGGTTGTGTGAGAGGCTAACTTTTTGCCAAATTAAAGTTTGAACATAAACGTATTATGCGAAAGAGCACAGGAACTTGGGTCTTGGTTAATAAATAGATCTATGTATACCTATCAATAGGTATACATATTTATAAACCAAGACCCAAGTTGGTGAAAGAGATGGGTTACTTAGCATGCTTAGGAAGTTCTCGATGTCACACCCTGAAAAATTGCAATGTGCCTTCATCATCCATAAATATTTATACACCTCTTGATACTCTTACACTCCGCAGTTTTAAAATTTTACATCTGCTTTAGACTATGAATAGAATAGAATAGGATTTATTACCAAATCAGGGCCCAATGGGCATAAACATATAACATGTATAATTACAGATAAGATAACAGACAGAATACAACATATAATGAAGAGCAATTCTTCCCATTTAGTACATTGGTGGTGTTTTGAGTTTCACATGTAGACATAGGTTGTCTTGATTTAAGATATATCTGTACTCTTAATTGATACAACTTAATGTGCAATGATGTGCATTACTATTACTAATATTATACATATAACTGAACACATAAAAAATATCTGATACATCAACAAGAGGCAGCAAGAGTCGGTGCTAAAGGATATACAGAAATCCACTTCTGCCTCATGTAGAATAAACAGATACATAATCTATGGAAGAGAGTATTAAAAAAAAATAATAATAATGATATAATAATAATAATAATAATTGAAAAAAAAATTGTATGCTGAATGGCATGTGTAAATTATATTAAACTGCAATGGACAGCAAGAGTCAGTGCTGAAGGATAGTATTATTATTTTAATTAATCTACTTCTGCTCAATGCAGAGTATACAACAACATACGCATATTAACAAAACATACTGTAGTATAAGTATTAAATCAAAGTACATGTAAGTAAAGTCAAGATCAACATGTGACTTTGAATTTGTCTAACTACACATGACTTATAAATTCACACAAATTGCACAGCACATCAACATCTTCACAGTTCATTAACCATAAAAATTGGTTACTTTTAGACATACTATTAAAAAGATGAGATCTCAGAGATATTGTGGAGAGTAAATTTATTCTTGATAGACTATGGCATAGACAACCCAAAAGAAAATGTATTTCATCTTCTACCTCTTTTAATTTACAATTGGGGCATATTCTCTCTTCTCTTGGTATACCATTATGTGGACCTTTTTCAATCATCAGATTGTGAGAAGAGATTCGAAATTTTGTTAAAATCTTCCTTTTCTCAAATTTTCTTAAGATTAATAAATAAGGTTCTAGCCCAAAGTTTTGTTAGATTGTGCAGTAAGTGTCTAACTTCCCACAAGTACTTAATTGTTCCTTCTTTTGATACCACTTTTCAAGAAAATATGAATTAAGAATGCGTTTACAATGATATTTAAAGGCTGATGTAGATGATTTCAGATGAGGCATTAACTGAGGAAGAAGTTGTTTGAATATATCAATAGAACCAAACCATGATAATTTGTTTTTGTTGAAATTGGATATTGAGGCAGTGTATGCAGCTTTTAATAGAGGATATGTGTCATCCAAATTTTCTAACCTATGCCAGTAATTCAAATTATGCTGAACAATACTGAAACTCATAGGGTGTCTACCTAATTCAGAAAGAACAGCAAATTTTGTACTTTTGTTATTTACGCCTAATAAAAATCTACAAAACTTGTAATGTAATTTCTCACAAAGTGATTTAGCATATAATTCATCCAGTGCAACAGGTCCATTTCTAAATCGTGCCGTAGTGGTGTTAAGTGCCCCCCAAATTTCACTACCGTATAGTAGTATGGGTTTTATTGTATGATCATATACGTGTAAAGCTGTGTTTTTTTAGGGTTCAATGATAGGAAATTTGTTTGTAATTTAAAAAGTGCCTTTGTAGCTTTTTCGTAAAGTTCATCCTGAGCAAGTGTAAAACTTCCAGATGCAGTAAAATGAATGCCCAAGTATTTATAAGAAGCAGTACAATCAAGAGGTTCTTTGTTTAATGTGAAGTTTTCTTTCAGTTTTCTATGTCATGAATTATACGACTCGACTCATATCCGGAATTTATATTTTCGTGTACATGTTTTAGATACTATGTAGCAACTAGTAGTTTCCTGTTGTAAACATTCGACAATTTCCAGTTGCACATTGTCATCGATAATTTGATGGTACTTCGTTCAGAGATTGATAACTGGTAATCTTATTGTTGTTGGTGATCGAATGAAATATCGCTTCCAAAAAGTTTAATATCATGACATAAAGTTTGAATGTTGTTATGTATCTTAAAATGAAATTACAGTATATAGCCTAGATCTAGTGATTTCAAACAGTTATGAAAAAAATATACATGAAAACCGGTTTTACAGCCAGTGGTAGCTAAGTATTTATGCATGCACCTAAAATTTTATCATTAAGTTGGAGAATAAAGCCATAGATTAAAAAAAAAAATCCCAACCTTTAAATTTGCGTGGATTAAACTGTTTAACATTGATACAGTATTTCAGGACTGACAAATGTTTAGGACCCAAAATCATGAAAAGATACTATACTGTTTACCTTTAATATTTGACAGAGCTTACTGATACTTATATAGAGTTTTGGGCATGAAAATGGGAAGCCTAGTTATAAATGGAAGTGACAGGGTGTCTACCAAGGGACTTATCCCCCTTTCTTCACCTTGCAAAATTCCAAAATTCCATGCTCATTTGACATTTTTAATTGAAATTCATGGGTGCTGAAAGATCAGATTTTTGTCAGCAAGCCAAACATGCATATAAAGACAGTTAGCTGAATAAAGATTGATGAAATCAATATGTTGAAGAGAGATGAGATTATTTTGAGGAAACATGAATACTTTATTTCATTAATTCATGACAAAGGCAATCCAATGGTTTTCATCAATATTCTGTTAGTAACAATATGCAAATCATAATCTGTTGTGAGTTGTGACCCCGCCCCTTTCCATGCAGGATTCTTAATCTAGTCATCTATAATTAAGTTTTGCCAGTTCTTACATGTATCCAGTTGATATCTTGTTTCATTACCTTGATTACAAAAGCAAGTCAATGATTTTCATTATTATTCTGTAACAATATGGAAATTGTAATCTACTGTGACCCCTCACTATTCAGGGTTTTTACCAAGTCAGTATCAAACTATGCACCATTTCATTTACTTAATCATTATTTAATATTAACGTGGCCTCTTGTCTTTACAATAAATTATAGATTGCAATCATGATAATATTAACTAAGAAGAATTAAAATTCAATATTCAAGACATTTTAGGACTGCCAGAAACATGAGAGAAATCCAAATGTTCAAGATATTTAGATTAAAAATGAAATTCATAGTAGGGTCAAGATCATAGACTCATTTTGGTGCAAATTAAGCAAATAAAATTTGGGTCCTAATGTTCTTGATATTTTTCTTTCTTAAACATTGTAAGTTAGGTGTGGCACATTTATGTGCAGATCATGATATAGAATGGGTAGTGCTTGGTACTTATACTATAGTCAATTAATTCAAAATAAACAGTCTTTTTAACAAGAAGTATTATGATGATACATTTGTGATGATACAAGTTTGTAGAGTAAAACAGGGATTTAGCAAAATACACATAATTAATTTTAAAAAATCCAATTGATGTTTCATTAGTTTGAACTTTTTGGTGACAAAATATGACTTCATTATGAGCTGGTACCTTACAAAGAGAAATTTCATAAAATTACAGCTGTGCATTTGTAGCATTTAAACCAATTTTAATATTAGATCCGATGTTTTATTGCCAGGAAGTACAAGACAATTTTAAATTTAAAGTGATTACAGAATTTGAGGTATGGCAAGGCCAAAGGAAATGGTTCCTAATCAGATGCTGGGAAGGGCATTTTTAGATAGGAGTGAAAGAGAACGGTCACGTCTGAAATTGACTCTAGCCAAACAAATGCAGAAAGACATTGGAAGGTAATATATACTATAGATAATGCATTTCCCATTATAAGACAAAGATGCTAATATAAGTCAAGATTTAATAAATGTAAGAAATATTTTTGCCTCACTGCACACGAATTGCTTCTTCACATAAATTATTAACTATTCAACAGATTAAGCAATCCCTTTAATGAAGATGTTTGTTTTTAAAATTTCAGAATGTTGGATGAAGAAATTCACTCAGACTTGGAAATTATTGTTGGGAATCGGGTCATTCCTGTCCACAAATTTTTCATTAAAACCAGGTAATTTGAAATTAGAAGATTTATTCCATTAATCATATTAATGATAATCAAACTAACTTTTTTTTGTCTTTATTTTGTAGAAGTAAACGAATTTATGAGCGGCTTTTAGAACTGTCCGGTGGTGAGTCACAGAATAGATCCCTGACCATGCCATGTTGGTTAGACTATGACACCCTGATTATCTTGTTTCAGTGAGTAAAGCTTTGATGTAGGAATAGATCAAAGGAATATATTTATTACCTGTCCACAGATATAATTAATCTACAGCATAGTTACATGATAATTTGTCCCTTTAAATACTTGTTAGTATGTTAGTATCTCCAGTGATGTACCATGCTTGCCAGAATATTTTACTTGATATTATATATTCTGAGTGTATTGAATATCAGTTTATAACTTTCCCACTTCTCACAATATCTAAATTTTATGGGAAAATAAGAATAAGGCACTCTGAAAGAAGATAGTAACGATATTCACTTGTTTTTTATACGATTTCTGATGTATGTTCTTGTGATTTTAGTCAGCTGTACAACGTGAATTCTGTGGATGGAGAAATTGATGAGGTAGACATAGCAGCAGGTCACACTATGGTGGACTACCTCCTATCACTATTGTCTGAGAAAAGGCCCGATCCGAGGGAGGGCTCTTCTGAGTCTGAGGAGGAAGAGGAGGAAGGGGGCAAGAAGGAGGGACAGGACAAAAATGGGGAGGGAATTAAGTGGGCTGAGCCTCCAGGAAGTGAATTTATTTTAATGAATGGGCTGAGTCCAAAAAAGGAAATGTGTGATAAAATGGTTCCAGATGAATATGTGGAAGGAAAAGTGATTAACACTGAAAACTGTGTTGATAAAAATGGCATATGGATGAACAATCAAACATCTGATAAATTATCTTCTCATGTTGATAAAAATGGAGTTGATGCACTTGAACATCATATATCAGAAAACAAAGACATAGCACCAAGTGCAGCTGATGATGATCTCAAATTAAGTGACGTAGAAGATGTAATAGAGGAGAAACAAAATTTGTCAGAACTGATCAAGATGTCATATGACATAACGGTGCCGTACGACACATGTAGTGTATTAGGAGAGGATCTTCTTCGCGGCTATTTACAGGACTTAGATTATGATTGTATCATCACTGTGTCTGACACACATTTCAAGGCTCACAGGTAAAAGAATCACAAAGTTTTATGCTCCCCCGTTTGTCAACAAGGGGTGTTTTGTTACTTGTTAGTCTATCAGGGTGCTGTGAAAAGGTTTTTATAAAGAACTTTCACTTTGATAACTTTCAAGATAGCACCTTCACTGTGTGATTGGTGTTAAATTTTGGTATGATTCAGCAACACTGAGAATATATACATGTGTATATAGTGTTCCTGTTGAAATAGGTGAAACTTAAACTCTCAACTGTATTTGAACTTACTTTGTCATATTCCAGGTGTTCGAATTATCAACATCAAGGTTGGATATAGAAATTTGGGGGGGGGGGGGTCCATACCAATTGAAAATAATTGTCTCGGAAATTTATTGACAAGCAAAAAAAAAACAAAAAACTTTAACTAGATCTCTAACTAAAGGCAAATGGGGGGGGGGGGGGGCTTCCAAGGTTATATCATCCCACAAATGAACATTTAAGATACTGCAGTTCAGCTGTAATATTTTAAATGACGAATCATACAAAATGAAGATTTCCTCATAAATGACCAACATATTAGGCATTTCAAGCAATTTGCTTTTGCAAAGCTTGAAATTTTATAGATCTCAGGCAATTTTATCAGGAATGCCTATGATACAAGAAGTTCAGAATCAGAGAGAAATTTAAAGTTTGGTAATTACTTTTTCTTTAGAATTAATATTCTTATTTTAGGTCCCTGCTGACTGCCAGATCGGCTTACTTTGAGGCTATGCTTTCAGGATCCTGGATGGAAAGTGATTCCCATGAAATCAAATTAGAAGGGTATCTAGAATACATCTGTATTGTAATGTCATTGTTGGCAGTCTGAGGCTTTTAATATTGATGCTATTTGTAAGAGGAAGTTGGAAAATGTGTACCATGATAAAATTGAATCTTTGGTTTATAAAAATCTGCAATTGTAAACTGCACTTGTGCATGAAATGATTAACATGTTCTCACATACATGGTAGAATATACATGTAAAAAGTAAACACAACTGAGTTATGATTCTCTTGGAAATTTACACTAAAATAATACATTATCTTTTAAATCTTTACTTATAAATTCATACAATAATATACTGAACAATTTGTTGACAGAGTGACCCCTGCTGTGATGGAGCAGACCCTTCTTTACCTGTATGGAGGTGTGACAGACATCTTGGACAGCTGCACGGTCAGCGAGCTGATCATGGTGGCGGACATGTACGGGTTAGATGGCCTTAGGGATGTGGTTCTCTATAACCTACGAAGGGATTACTGCCATTTCTTCCATAAGGTGATACAATACTGGCCTTCATATGTGTGTTGGAGAAAATAACGAAACATGTAGTTAATGATATAATAAGTGTCAGGTCTGGCTATTTGGGGGAGAAAATTGAACATTTAATTCATGTTATTTAACATGTGTTACTTTTTACAGCAATTAGATATATTTTGTCAGCATGGTGATTATAACTTAAAATACATGTACATATCACTGACAACTTGTTTATTAATAGTTTAGCATAATATGAATATGAAGAACATGAATAGTGCACAATAGACAGATGCTAAACTATGAATATAACAAAAATAAGAACAAATACAGCATGAAATTGTTCTCTATTGCCGAGAGTAAAATGAAGATTTAATTTTGACTCATAAATTCAATAACAAAATACATGTATACATCACAAAATGAACTTTATTCTCCATTATATCCATAACCTAGAATATTCTATTTTTGCTGAGAGTTATGGTCATTGAACTTCATTCCAGCAAATATCAAGAAATGCATAACTGAAATTTAAGCAATTTTCAACTTCAAACATTTTCAGCAATAGTGTCAGCTTCACTAGAAATTGATTTCATGAACATTTATTATGTTATACAAGTTTTCATTCACGGCAAAAATAATGAATTATTTAAATGTAATGCCACTAGAAACTTTAAAAGATGCTTTATTTACTTTTCACTTCCAAACATTGATCAATAACATGAAGTGAAAACAGTGCACACTATTTTAATTTGAAATTCTTTACTAAATAGTAGAAAAATTCACATCCACTTAACTATTGACGTATCGTACATATAAAGAGTAGACAGGCATCGTGAAAAACTTCACACAATGACACATTGTTTCACAGTATGAGATACAAAGTACGAACTTTCTCAACCCCGTGCTTCTGTTATTCCTCAACACATGTTCCTAAGTCTCTTATGCATTTGGTGTAAAAAGTCGAACAAAAATGTACTCGGATATTTTTGGATGCAAGGGCTGACATATTTTTTTGATAATATTATAATTTGGAATTGTTACAAATAGAAGCGGTGAATCTGACGAAATATATTGCAAATTGGCATGGCCTCAGTTAATTTTGTACATTAATACTGAGTTTTCCCTAATGATTTCAGCCATGTTCTATCTGCGAGTCTGGAGTTGTAGATACATTTAGTCTCGCTGTCTCGTACAACATGCCTGAAATGCAGGATCGATGTGCAAAATGGATAAACAACAACAAAATCAAAGTTTGGAGAACTAAAGCATTTGCCAGTCTGCCTACAGAACACTTAGAAATCTGCTATAATGCAGCTGCATCAAGCCTGGTAAGGGATTAGTCAAAAAATTATCATAACACTTGACTGTAACAATTAAACTCATATATATATATATATATATATATAATCCGGACTTCTTGGTTAGGGAACCCAGTTAAGCATTTATATATCGGTCTGGGACCCCGATGGATTAAGCAGACTTTTTCCGGTCTCCCTAATATTTTAACTGATCATTAAGGCAGTGTACTTTGTGGTAAGATGACTGATGTCCTGAAATAAGACTCTTTCGTAATTATTTTTTTCAATGCAATTATAATTTCTTCATTTTTTATTCGCATAGCGAGAAATAATTAAATTATTTATAACCCGGCATATATTTTCATAGGAATATATATATCTATTAAGTCGCCCAGAGAAAATGTGTAATATTAATCAAAATCCGCTATATATGAATAGTTTTAATTAATATCCCATTTAGTTTAATCATTTCCTATATTTTCTTACCCTTCATTCATTCGTGAGTTCAGTATTTAAAATTTCGAAAATTCATGGTCTACAAATGACTCATGTTTGTCTGGCAATAAGTTGCCTGGTTTCCGGTCGACCTGGAGAACCAGAAAAGAAGACGATGGCAGACGCCTCGAAGTGCTTTGGATCCTTTTCGTAAGTATAAATCTGTTACTTACTATCATTTGCAGCTGTTTTTTTTTTTTTTTATGTTTTATACGTCTTTTGTATATTATTTTCCCCTTTTTTATACGACGCGCTTGCATAGCGTCAATATTGACTAACAGCGAACGTCGAGGAAATTCTGAATACACATTTTTAATTTCTTTTCATTCATAATGATACATCTTTTTAAAAATCATCAAATATTTATTTTAACTAATTATTAAGTTTGTGGATGCTCATGGTATGACGTTCGAAACATGGATATGATTGACGCATTATTTAAAGAAGCTGATAGTAAGCGCGGGGGGAGGGGGGGGGGGGGTTCTTGTGTACGAGAATCTGAGATTTGTGTTTTGAGATACAATAACAAACGATTCTACAAAAATTAATGCAACACAAACCACTTCCTTCCTTTTATGACACTCTTTAGTTTTTGAACAATGAGTAAAATTTGGTTTAAGATTTGAACAAGACTTACAATGTCATATATTGTCAAAGACTACTTCTACAATTACATGTTCAAGAATTTAAGGTATTGCAGAGGTTTTTACTCTATTCTGAAGTTTTCAATGATGTAAACAGTTTCTGTCTATAATTTTAGATATTATAAATAAAGATATGTTATTTTGTAGTAACAATAATTTGGCTATTAATTCATGTAATTTTCTAAGGTACTACATTTGATAATTTTTAGGTATAAATATTATTTTTTAATATTATGTCATAATCTGTTTTATCAGCATATATCATAATTATATAAATAACAACTCAAATATGAATCTGAGTCTTCAAGGTCTTTAAGTGTATAATTCCTTTTCACTGCCTATAAAGCATTAAAATAAAATTTGTTATGTTCCCCAGAAACATAATTTTAGGAGGTAAATCTATTACTTAGTATTCGTATTTTAAATTTAAAATCCTGGATGAATATGAAATTTCTATTACCGTAAAAAACTGTTCTTAAAACAGTTTCTATATACCCCTTCCCCCTCATGTGTGCCAAAATTTAGTAAAGGTGAAATAATCATTTTTTTTTTTTGGTTAGATATTGCTTTTATTATACATAAAATATACATAACACAACTCACAAAACTGATTTAAAAAGGACCCAAATCCTGGGAGCTTAAAGGGGCTTTTGTCCTTTACCCACTGGGGCCACAAGGTGGCCCTCACTGGCCCAGACCCCATTATTAGCCTGTTGAACCCCCCTTTAAAAAATCCTGGGTCTACCAAAGATAATTTTGAAGTCTTTATATGAAATGATAAAATGTATTTATTAGCAAAAGAAAAAGGATATAAAACGGGGGTAGTGTACCACAACTACCCAATTTAAAAAAAAAAATCAATAAAATTCTAAATAGAAGATTTAAATGTCCAAAAAGCTTCAAGATAAGTATACATACATATTTTTGTTGTATGATACATGTACTTACATGTATGATAACTCTGCTAATTGGTGTATTAATAAAATTGGGTTTACTTGTACTTACTTCTTACTTATATGCCTCTTTGGGGCACACTGTACCAATTAGTGTGTTATGAAGTACTTTTATTAGTATTTTTCATTACTACTTACTTATCACAGGCACTTGTTTCAGTAATAAATTTTTTAACCCATAGTATAGTAATAACGCAATATTATTATGCTATGGGTTAATTTTTTTTTATTGAATCAAGTGCCTGTGTTACTTATACCTTTGGGGGGGGGGGGGGGCATATGCCACCCACAAGATTTTTCCAGGACTCAATCCTGTGCAATCCTTAAATTAAAATCATTAATAAATGAATATACATTTTGGTGGGTTCTGGTGCATCCTTGAAGTCATTTTTCACATATAAAATAAAGAAAGTCTAGCAGTGTTACTTTAAACAAATGAATTATGATCTACTCTGTTTCAAAAATGATATTTTTGAGTGTTTCTTCAGAGGGGGGGGGGGGGGGGGCTTGTGTCCAACATTCCCCACCATTACCACTTCTCTGTTCCTACGGCCCTCTATTCTACTGTACTGCTACCCTAAGAGGGGATAATAGTCTGCTCTTGGGATAGTCAGGTTGAACTGAATTCCAGCAACACAAAGTAAAACAAAGATAAATATTTGATGTGAAATTTTATTTACAAGGAATAAATGAGAAACATGTACTTCCAGTTGTACTCAAAATAATGGGAAAAATGTGATTTATATGATTAATGAAAATTTGAAGGAGCTTAAAATTTTATTAAAAATTACTTAGAAGATATGGATTTTAGAGAAATCCGTTGAATTTAGATCGGGTTCAAAATTCTTAATGTTCTCAATATGGCGCTTAAGTAAATGCAAAGATTTGGAGAGAACCAAAAAAAAAAAAGGTAAGTTATTAGGAATTCATTGCTCTCATAATTTGTACCGAAGTCAATATGGAGTGGTCAGAAACGGGAAGATGGGCTAAGTTGCCAAGAACAGTGGACGTAAGAACTCACACAGCAGGGGTGTGCAATTACAAAAATTAGTTACTAGCCCGTCGGGCTAGTGGCAGTAACAAAGTTACTAGCCCGAGGTTGCCAGTCACTAGCCCATTAACTACCGAAAACAATACATGTATAAGTATAACAAAAAGGTTAAAAAAAACATTTAAGTTGAAATAAATAAAACAAATAATGGTTTGCGCTTTTTTCTCCCTATTTTTATCGACTATGATAATCAGGGACCTATATACTAGGTCCCTGCTATAATTATTATGTCACTGAAACGACTGGCGATAGCAACACACAAAACATATAGGTTAAAACGAATTAAAGATTATGATTTTACAACAAGGTAAATTCGTACATCAATTCAGTCGCCGTAAATATATGTATACTTTCGTTTTAGATTTACCAGTGTTTAATAGCCCGACGGGCTAACGCAGTATAGATTTATGATAGCCCGATCTCTAAAATTGGTAGCCCCGGGCGTCGGGCGTTGGTAATTGCACACCCCTGCACACAAGACAATCGAAACAAACAAGTATGGTTAGAATAATGTCCGTCGAACTCAGTAACATGTATACATGTAACAGGAATGATGCTAAAAAAAATTTAAAAGGCATGCTCCATAAACTGATTAACTGAATGTAAAATAAATCAATTAATACCTTGCAAATGAAGAAAAACTCGAATTCATTTAGAAAAAAAAGTGTTAAATATGATATTTTCTCTAATCTGCTTACAGGGACCTATATACTAACAATATATAGGTCCCTGCTGCTAATTACAACCAAATTTTGCTATTTTTTCCAAATAGAAAAGCCCAGGCTCTTGATTTAAAGACCTAGAAAAACCCCTGTATATTAACAGTACATGTATCACCGTTGGGTGAGCGCAGATGGAATATTGGATACATATTCAGTTTTAACTTTAACCCCTTTGAAATATGTTTTGGGATGTGTAAAAATGCTGTGTTCTGATTGGGCAGAAAAATATTTACGTGTATATGATGTATACTTATGGCAACTTTCAGTTATCGTTCTTGACTTCCATTTTTGGAAATCGTCCAGACCTGATAATGTGCCAAATAAATAATAAATATGTTGTCAGTAGTCAAGTAAAGAGGTGATATTTCTTTTTTATTAGCTAAATTATGTAACAATGTCATTAATTTGAAATCAATTTCACAGGTATCATATGCAATGAAGCGTAACTAACTAATCCCATCGTCTTTCTGCACGAGATAATCATGCCACATTGTGTACACAAACTGTAATTAGTATTTTTACGTGGAATCCAATTTCAGTGTGTTAAAAACTGCAGGTTTTAACTTTTTCTGTAATGATAACCTACTACATTAGAAAATGTTCGGTAATACATTACAGCCATAAAAAGTGCTTACCACATGTTTATAGCTATGTATTGGTAGGCAGGTGTATGTTCATGACCATCGGAAAGAATTTTTATTTTTCTCACTCTTGAAATTTTTTGGATTTTTCTTTGAGGCATGGTGATGAAAGTAATGGTAAAACAACCAGTTTTGGAAAAGAAATTAGCAGTATTATAACAGCTGGCTTTGCATATAACATTTAGAATTAGGGATCCCAAGGGGGGGGGGGGGGGAAGTAGGATAGTTATTCAATTCGTTTCGCCAAGCTGTCGGGGAACCACACCTGGATGCCTTAGGGCTCTCGATTGTCTATAATTAGGGCCATTCAAGGGCCCCATTCCTAATTCAAAAGAGGTACCTTTCTTCCCAATTGAATGTGTTAATTTTCCCAATAGTCATTTATCCCCCAAATTAATGAAAATATGGTTGGATCTGTAATAACTACAGGGCTCAACATTAACGCTTGTCCGCTTGCCCGGTACCAGTGAAAAAAAATTACGGACAAGTTAATATTGCTGGGCACTTGTCCGATTGGACAAGTG